AATATTTTGTTCAGCATTATTTCCAAGTTTATTGCGGGATCTCTGTGTGAAAGCGCAAGCACATTTGACCTGATTTTAGCCCAGCCCCCAGCTAATTTTAAAATTGTGACAGAATTCTGCCAATCCATTGTTGTGTTGTTGATTAATTAACCGAACAACCCCCTTACAGCCAGAGTTAATACAATGTGATGGTTATATTCTACTTAGATGCATCAGTTCCAATGTACGGGTTTGTGCATCTTACTCACTAGAATATTTAAATGGAACAGAGCCAGCGTTCCACCCGTGCTTTTGCTACCACAACAAGTCAAAATGTCTGCTAGGAGAAGGCCTGGTCCTTTAAAAGGCCCTGCACATTCTTGTGTTTGTTTAGTTATCGCTAATTAAACATCTGCTCAGGTGGAGGGTGGAAACGGCTATGCTGGGAATTAAGTGAGCTCACCGAACTTCATGGCCTAAAAGTACAGTTACAGTAGCAACAGTAACAGTTTTTACTCTGGTAGTGGCCATATTGGGAATGGAACATGCAAACATAATGACGTTTCTATTTCCCAGCACAGCACATCAATGTTTTACACAAAGACAAATGTTTGAATGTGTCCATTACGTGGGTTGAATGAAGAAAACTGGGAGGGTGAGGATATTTGTAGAGTGGACATATAATGTGTCAGCATAGACTGTTGGTGTGGGTACTAGATCTCTCTGCAGGGCAACTGGACATGCACAGACTGTTAGACTTCCGTATCTCCATCTATATCCTGTTACTTTTGATTATGGGTAATTATTGGGTCTCTGCCAATAGTATTACAAAGAGTACAGTCTATACTTGCTCTATATGAAAAGTGCCCTTGTTAGGAATTGGTGCTATATAAATATACCTGAATTGATTTCAGCATAGCTCCATCTAACTTCCACATGAGCAGAGGCCTAATCAGCCAGAATAACTGCAAACTGCTGTGTGGTGTGCACAGCCTTGAAAAGTAACTGCACACAGGCTGCTCATGCTGGCATCTAGTGGTGGCTGCATGCAATGCCAACACCCAGTGTAGCACAGCAGTTCACAATATGACTGCGCAAACTTTATCAAAGTTGGGTGTGGTACAGAACAATATAGCACAGCAGGCTGAAACCTGTCAGTCCACGACGGGTCAATGCAGCAATGCTTTTCTTCCATAAAAAGATTCAGGGTTAATTGCTCTTTAAAGTGAGATGTTGCAAAGTGCTGTTATCATACTGAGGAGAAGCAGACAGTCGGTCCTGTTGAGAAGCCTCTGGGTGATGCTTCCACTGGTGAGGATAGAATAAGGACAGGCGAGCTCTGACAGCAGACCGCTCATCTCCAGCTGAAAGCTCTCTGCCTCGCTCGGACCTGGGAGGGTAGAAGGACAAACACACCAAACGTGTTGCGAGTAAGACAAATAGTCTGGGTACATCTCACACACAGCAAGCAGTACATCCAGCTACATTGCGTGTTTGGCAATAATCTTCACTGCTGATTTTGAACTTCTACCATCTGTTAAAAGCTTAATAATTATAATAATTATTCACAAAACCCAAACCATAGCATGTTTCATTGAAGTATAACTTTTTTTTTATGCCTTCAGCTAGCAAGAAAAGCAAATATCCCCCTAGCATTATGTTATGTGCTTATATGCTATGTGTTTTCACTACTCAATCCATTCTCTTTACTCTGCATCAGGTGCAACCTCATTTAACAGTGATAAAATATGTCTTACAGTTGGTGGCATGGACATTTTCCTCCAGCTTGCAGTACAGTCTAAGCTCTGAGATGATCCAGGCACAGAGCTTAGTGAACTCAGGTGAAGCGGCTCCTCTGCTCACAGCAGAATCCAGAGCCCCTTCCTCCAACAGAGGGCCCAGGTACCTACAATGGCACCAACACACAGCTCATACAGAAACTAAAACCAGCTTCAATCTGAACCACAACTCTTCCCTTGTCAGTGCAGCACGGCAGTGATGATAAGCAGAACTGATATTTGGTTTAGTGCAGGTTGACACTCAAGACTTGTTGCAAAGTACAAACTGCGTTCCTCAGTGACACCAAACTACATTTTAAAATCGGTTTATTTAAGAAGTCTTTCTTATTGCGAAGCATACATGTGGCTAAAGCACGAAATTGGCGCAGGACCTCTATTAATTACTTGTGAGAAGCCAGTGGATATATCAGCATACGAGTAATTAACCAAGAAACACTGAATCAACAACTCATTTATTTTTAGAAAGTGGGGCTACAACTGGTTGGTAGAAAGGAATGTGCTGGCGCTCTCCTGGTATGAATCATGACGGGAGTAGCTTAGCTGACGCAGCTTGTGGCACAACATGTAAAACCAGACTGTTGGTCTATTAATACAGGCACCCACATAAATGGCTACGGTGGACATAATAGCTATGAAAAGAAATCCGTCACCATCAGATGAACGTTAGCCGTTTTGCTAAAGCAAGCTAACGTTGCACTGTTATGCGCTGGCCAACGAAAGACAGGCAAGGCTGCTCATTGGAACGGCCGCTTCTGCACATGAGCTTCACAAGGCGGCAGACATATCAGGCCTACGTTTTTTGACTTACCCTAAATCTTCAAGAGAGACGAGAATGTCATTCTCCATCCCAATAATCTGTCGTTATACTCTAAAATCACGTATGAAATAAGGTTTTCACATCCGCCAGCTCAGCTGATACACGTTTAACTTCGTCTCTTTGGATTTATTGGCGATTGGCAAACCAGCTTAGCGATGCTTTACCGCCCCCTACCGGACTCTAAACTACTCAAGCCCAAGCCTCTAGGTTCTTCTTCTTCCTTATGGAAATGTATTGGCGGTTGGCACAACAAAATGGTGCATTACCGCCACCAACTGGTATGGAGTGTTGGATCTGAATGACTACTACTTATTTTATACCAAACAAAGCAAAAACAAATCATCAAAAACAAAAAGATTCAGATCCTCTCAATCATATTGATTATTCTAAGATAATGAAAAACAATTCCATAGCACTTATCTCTTGAGTTCTTTCTAAGAATTTCTATTAAATGAAAATGTATTCTTTCCATTGTAAGGTTTTGGATAATTTCCTCCTTTTCCCCTCATACTTCTTACAGTGTACCATGACCTGTTCGATTGTCTCTTGTTGCCCACAGTACTTTATGTTTACCTATTTGAATAAAGTGCTATTTAATCCTGTGTGCCCAAATGTAAGTCTTGATATAAGTCTCTTCTCTCCTGTTTCTTCCTGCACATCTCATTTCTCCCACTGTCCTCTGAATTATGTAAAACCACTGTCCTTTCCCTCTTCCTCCCATTGCTTTTGCCATCTTTCTTCAGCCTCTGTTTAATAATGCTCTTTATTTCCATCTTACTGATGTTAACTGCCACATTGATGTATTCTTTCCTTTGCATCCTTATCTGCCATTTCATTTCCTTTGATTCCAATATGTGCTGGCACCCACATAAATATGACTGCAATGCCCATCATTTGAATTCTATATAATGTTTGCTGTATTTCTATCAAAATGTCTGCTCTGCTGTCTGGGTGACTGCTCTGTAATCTGATTAGTGATGAAGTTGAATCTGAACAAATAATCACTCTCAGTGGTCTTATTTCTTCTATCCATTGCAACAGAATTGCTAGCATTTCTCCTGTGTGTACTGATACATTATCACTAATCCTCTTCTCTATTGTAATATGAAACTCTGGAACAATAAAAGCTACTCCTATCTTATTAACTAAACTCTTTGATGCATCTGTGTAGATCTGGATATAACTGTGGTAACTATTAATATATGCCTGTATAGTATCCATCCATCGTCAACCGCTTATCCTGCGTACAGGGTCGCGGGGGGCTGGAGCCAATCCCAGCTGGCATTGGGCGAAAGGCGGCGTACACCCTGGACAGGTCGCCAGTCCATCGCAGGGCACTTTCGACGAACAACCACTCATGCTCACGCTCACACCTAAGGACAATTTAGGGTCACCAATCAACCTAGGCCACATGTCTTTGGATGGTGGGAGGAAGCCGGAGCTCCTGGAGAGAACCCACGCAGACACGGGGAGAACATGCAAACTCACCTGTATAGTATGTGAATTCAAAATAAACTGTCCCTGTCCCTGTCCTTGTTTTTCTTTTCTAATAGTGTAAGATCTACTGTCGCTTCAGGTAGTACCCAAGGTGGTACTGCTGGCAGTGGTACTGTTGGACTGAATTTTAATTCAGTTAATTCTAACTCTGTTGCTTTTTGTATAACTGTCCACCCAAAGCTTTTTGTTTCCCTCCTCTCCTTTTCCCAACAAGGTTTGTGCTGGGTGATCTTCACTATGGCCCTGTAAATTAACCCAGTAATTCAGAGATAACTGTATTCTTCTCAACTTGTGGGGCATTTCTCCCATTTCCACCTGTAATGCTGCCGTTGGAGTTGTTTTAAAGGCCCCTGTGCATAATCTCAAAGCCTGAAACGGAATGTTTTCTAACTTTTTGAGAGATGTGCTTGATATCCATGTTATTCCCTCATCAAACCATAACCCCCAAAACTTGTTTCACTCTTTCCAATTCTTGATGATATAACTTTAGTTTTACCTCAGTACCAATTCTTTTCTTTGTAAAAATCGCATAGTCATCCGCAAAAGTGAAAACCCCATCCCATTCTCTATTTCCCTGAAAACATCATTAATTATTATGGAGAATAATAAAGGACTTATTATGCTCCCTTCAGGTGTTCTGTTCTCAACAATATATTTTCTTGAATAACTCTTCCCTATTCTAAGTTGTATTAATCTCCCTTGTAAAAAGTCCTTAATCCATCTATATATTCGTCCTTTGATTCCTAATTGAGACAATCCTTCTCTCCACATCATATTGTATGCCTCCTCTATGTCAAAGAAGACAGCCACTACACGCTTACTTGTGCTTTTCTAATTTCATGCTCGAAACATACAGCTGGATCCATTGTATTTCTTCCTTTCCTAAAGCCACATTGGTATTTCGCTATATATCCTTTCTTTTCCATACAGTATGTTAACTTTTCATTTACCATTTTCTCCATTATTTTGCATATGTTGGATGTTAAAGCGTTTGGTCTATAATTCCCCAGATTTGTACAGTCTTTTCCTGGTTTGCGTATTGGCACTACCACAGCCTCCTTCTAGCTCTGTGGCAGTTTCCCATCCACCCATACTTTATAATATAGTTCAAGTAATACATCCTTTGAATTTTCACTGAGCTGGTTTATCATTATATAACAAATCTGATCGTTTCCTGGTGCTGACATCTTGGTTTTCTGGAGATTGCGTTTTAGTTCTGTCATTGTAAAGGGTTTGTTTAATAGGTCATTAGGATTTTCTTCTTGTTGTAACTCTTCATCTCCCTTACTGTTGTTTCCCTCCCTCTTTTTCCCTCTTCACTAATATTATTTGAACTGTGAATTGTTACAAAAGTTTTAGCCAGCATCTCTGCTTTCTCCTCATCTCTCACTGCTATTGTTTGTCCATCATTTAAGACTGGGTACCCAGACTCTCTTTTTATCCCATTCATTCTTTTATCATACCCCAAACTTTACCAATGTCTGTCAAAATTTCCTCCAATATTCTTTCTTTGCAGTTTTTATGATTCTCCTTACATTTGCTTGTAAATTCTAATAATCAATAAGATTCTGAAAACAGTGATTCCTTTTTAACGCTTTAAAAGATTTATTTCGAGATTTTATCGCTCTTTCACATTTCATATTTCCTGCTCTAGTCCATACTTCAATTATTAAATATTTCAACTCTTTTCCTTTCCTCAAAACTCTATATTGCATTCCTTGTTTTATAAACATTATACCTCCTCCTCCACTACCCTCCCCTCTATCTCTACAGATGCTATCACATCCTTTAATAACAAACTCTAATTCTGATTTAAGCCATGTTTCTTGAACGCATATGATTTCTGGTTTATTTTTCAAATCTTTAATAAATCCTTTAAACTCCTGACCATTTGCTATTAAGCTTCTTGCATTCAATTGTACAATAATCAGCTTGTCTTATGACCTGGGCCTCCCGCTTTCCCATCTGCTTCAAGTCTTGTTTTGATTTGCTCCCAAGATACATCTTTTATGGCCAAAAACTTCTCTGCTCTCTTAACTATTATTTTAATTTTCTCGGGTTTTGTGTTTAACTTGATCAGTACAATTGATCACATAGGCCACAAACAAAATAATCTTATCCACTGACAGTTCTGTATTTGTTTTCTCTGTTTGACCTGCGTCTATTCTCGACACCTGGATAACATTGTCAGTATCAACCCTTCCTCTTTGTCCTTGTACTTTCTTCACTGCTTCTGCATAACTTATGTTGTTAACTGTTTTAATCTGCTGTATTTCCACAGCCCTCTTCCTGACTTCACATCCACCATATGTTACCCTGTGTTGGCCACCACAATTACAACATTTATCCTGCACATTTTCCTTACATTCTTCTACTCTGTGCTCACCTCCGCATTTGGGACATCTCTGCTTCCCTTTGCAAACTGCTGCTATATATGCTGCTATACACCAACAGACGTAAAACTCTTTCGTCCCCTGGCCATCAGACTGTACAACAGCTCCTAGTCATGGCAGGGAGGACAATAGACAAAAGAACAATTTCTACTTCCATCTGTACTCTTTACTTCCATTTGCACTCCATCTGTACTGTTTATGGTTTTGCACTGTTTACTGTGGCGACTGTGTTATAAGTTAATATTTCATTTTAATATAGGTTTAATGTATGTATATTTCGTATGCTACTGGATACTTGAATTTCCCTCGGGATAAATAAAGTATCTATATATCTATCTATCTATGCCCATACCTCTGGCTTTTGTAACAGCGTGGTGGTGGAGGAATATAGGGCCTAACTTTCTGGAAGTAAAGACTCCTGAAACTCCAGAAGAGCAGACAAGCTCTCAACCCTTTTACCATTCATTGTTCTCAACAGTCTCTTAATTCTACTCACCTCGCCTCCACTAATACTGCGCTTGAGTTTCTCCAAGTCTTCTTCTACAGGAAACCTGTTATCACTCCCCTTGTTACTCTACTCTCACCCAAAGTCTTTCTCTCACTAATTATTTTCTTGCACACACTTTCGACTTGCAAGGCTTAATTTTTCTGTTCCTCCGTTTTGCATGTTACCAACAAGCTTCCGTCTCTCAAAATCTTTGCCATTTCCACATCTCCTAGCTTCTTTTTTAATTCCCTAGATACTGCTATTGGACTTAAACCAACATGCTCGTCTTCTTTTCTAAACTTGAGGATGATTTTAAATTCCTCTCTCACAGCCCTTTTCCGCACAAACCCACTCCCTTCATCGGAACTGTTCTCTTCCAAATTACATTTACTTCCTTGACTCAAAATCCACCCTACATCTCCTTTCCAATTTACCCCTGTTCCTTGTCCTTTCCTGTTAGCAACTGCAGCCCAGTCGCCAAAATCCATTTCCCCATCTTTCTCTACTTCCTGAGTCGCCATTCTAGTCCAGTCACAAACCAGTTTATGCCAACCACCAAGTCCCACACGTTTGAGCCCAGAAAATGGGGGCTTGTTTGTTCTTTTCTGAATTCTACCATTTCTCAGTACGAGTGTGTTCAAACATTTCGCTCCAAAATCCACCTTTCCAGCCTCTATTTTTTGGAGT